ACAAGGGGCCTATATTTAAAAAGGGCTGACTACTCAGTTTCCTCTGTAAGAGTGGCAGTCTGCTCTTGTTATTTTATTTAGTTATTCATTAGCATTCAACCAAGTATCATCTCTATATTTAAATAATATCTCATTTAATAAGTTGTGTTTATTGAACAACGCTCCTGTTGCACAAAAATCCAGTCAGGCCCGTAGCCAGAAATTTAGTTTGGGGGGGGCCCAAAACGTAGTAATAATATTTTGGGTGGTAGGGGGGCGGAAATGGTTGATGGATAAATACCAGTAAAGCGTGAAGTTGTCATAAAAAATATGGCTTGTAATCGATAGACATATTTTTAAAACATGATTCACATATTTAGGAAAATTTTAGGGTTCACGGAATTTCGGGGGGGGGGGGTCCGGGCCCGTCGGGCCCTACGGCTGGCTACGGGCCTGAATCCAGTCAACCAAATTCGCATACGGAGATTGTTTTCATGGATTAGTTTTTAAGGAAACGTACTTAAGCTCAGTAAAATATTCCTAAACTGCTTCCAACGTGTTCCCATCACAAAATCCATAAACGAAGAGCATATCGGCGTATTCTTGATTCATGAATCAAACAGGCATTTTGATGTATTTAACGTTTAACAATACTGACAGGTGTAAGCACAGAACATAGGGGTCATATTATCTCCAATCCATCGCCTACTTTCTTGGTTACTTTCAAATGTGAGTAATTCTTTTATAAACCGAACACCTTTTGACCGACACATCTCAGATTTGGCAGAAACTTTTTTTACGGATTCTATGTCGAAAAATAAGAGATACGTGTCCGAGGAATTTTTTTTCTCTCGCATATTTTCGATAATACAAGCTATCGAAAATTTGAGAATAACGAGTTTTTTGGCTTGGAGACTCATTTTCAAAAATTTATAACTCTGGTTCTATTTGAGCTACAAACTTCTTTTTTTTTTTTCATTTTAAAGCTTAAGGACTGAATTTTAATAAAAAAATATTTTTAATAAATATTATTAACAAATTCATATTGTTATTAACAATTTCATTGTTTAAATCAATTTTTAACAATGACCCCCACCTCTTATTAAGTTTTTAGTATTTTTATCGTATTCTCCGTCAAATTTTACATAAAAAACATGTTTTCAAAATATGTTACCTTTATTATTACTATTGTTAAAACATTAATTTGTATTGCGGGACACATAAAAAAACGGTTTTGGTTTAATAAAAAGAAAACTATAGCTCGGATCAAAAAAAGTCAAATATAGAAGTTGTAGATAATAAAAAGATATACAATTTTTATTTTAACTATTTTTTGACATAACCTCACTTTTCAAATAAATTGAAAAATTTCAATTTATTTGAAAAGTGAGGTTATGTCAAAAAATAGTTAAAATAAAAATTGTAGATCTTCTTATTATCTACAACTTTTATTTTTGACTTTTTTTGATCCGAGCTATAGTTTTCTTTTTATTAACCAAAAACCGTTTTTTTATGTGTCGCGCAATACAAATTAATGTTTTAACAATAGTAATAATAAAGGTACCATATTTTAAAAACATGTTTTTTATGTAAAATTTTACGGAGAATACGATAAAAATACTAAAAACTTAATACGAGGTGGGGGCATTGTTAAAAATTGATTTAAACAATGAAAATGTTAATAACAATATGAATTTGTTAATAATATTTATTAAAAATATTTTTTTATTAAAATTCAGTCCTTAAGCTTTAAAATGAAAAAAAAAGAAGTTTGTAGCTCAAATAGAACCAGAGTTATAAATTTTTGAAAATGAGTCTCCAAGCCAAAAAACTTGTTATTCTCAAATTTTCGATAGCTTGTATTATCGAAAATATGCGAGAGAAAAAAAATTCCTCGGACACGTATCTCTTATTTTTCGACATAGAATCCGAAAAAAAGGTTTCAGCCAAATCTGAGATGTGTCGGTCAAAAGGTGTTCGGTTTATAAAAGAATTACTCATGTTATTATTTGTTGGTTATTTTTATAGGTGGCTATTTTATAAGTGTTTTAAACTTTCAACTCTAAAATTGTACCAAAGTGACTCTTAATTCTAAATTGAACAAACATTCAAATTTATTTTATTTAAATAGAAAATAGGGCGGGAAAAGTTATAAGCCACTGGACAATTTTAACAAAAGTTACTTGTGTCAAGTAATAACCCACTGGGAAAAATAATATTTCTACAATGTTACTGAACGTTACATTTGTTAGATGTAATGTTACAAAAATCCTTGTGGCAATGTTGCAGGAACATTGCAACAAAGCCTTATGTCCGGCTCAGGAACATTACATTTACAAATAAAATGTTGCTTAAATGTATTAATTGCAATGTTACTAAATATTATTTTTGTTAATGTAAGGTTCCTGCAACATTACATTTGTTAGGTATAATGTTACAAAAAACCTTGTGGCAATGTTGCAGGAACATTGCAACAAAGCCTTATGGTTCAGAAACATTACATTTACAAATGTTATTTTTGTTAATGAAAGGTTCCTGCAACATTACAAGAACATTGCAATTAAATTAATATGAATTATTATTATAATAATTAATTATAATTATTTATCCTTAAGCTATAGGCCTATTATATATAAATAACAGACTGTTTCGACCTGTTTGGTCTCATCAGTGTCAGGCAGTCGGTGACGGGAGACACGCATCAAGCTCGGCAATGTTCACTTATAAAGATATAAATGACCAAGACAGCGGCGAGATGCCTCGGCAAGTCAGTCTGCAAACAACATTGCAAAAATTATCTTAATGCAATATTTCGGATGAAACATAGTCCAAAACTAAAGTTATAATTATAAATGTAATATTATAGTTACAATGTAAAATATTGCAAATTAAATGTTTATATTGTTTATATAAAGCAACATTGCAAAAATCATCTTAATGTAATATTTCGGATGAAACATTGCCCCAAACTTATCAATGTAATATTATAATTGCAATGTTTCAAAAATCTTGCAAATTAAATGTTTATATTGTTTATATAAAGTAACATTGCAAAAATCATATTAATGTATTATTTCGGATGAAACATTGCCCAAAACTTATCAATGTAATATTATAATCGCAATGTTTCAAAAATATTCCCAAACATTCCAAAATAAATGTTTCTATTGTATATTTAAAAGTAAAGTTGCAAACATTTTTCATTTGAAACTTGTGTTAATATTTCAATTGAAACATTGAAAAAAAGTTATGTCTGCAATATTATAATTGTAATGTTTAAAAACTTTTATGCAACATTTTATACTAAATGTTACAAATATAACATTGTAAAAACTTTCCATGTGAATCTTTAAATAATGTTTTAAATTTAAGGTTGTTGGAAATTATTATATGCAATATTTCAAATGTAACATTTCATTTATGTTAATGCAAGTAGCACAGGAAATATTTTATTTGTAAAGTCGGCGAACATTGCAGCAATATTTTGTAAGGTTTCTTTCCCAGTGGGAAGTACCTATCTATCTATTTTACCAAATTTGGTCGAAAACGCTTTTAAGAGTCAGAATTCCTGAAACGGATCACCAAAGATTGGTGGTTATTGTTTTTCAAAATTAATTAGTTTATTTCTTTTTAGTTTAGGTATAAAATACGAATCCCCAAACAAGGCTGCATTAAAAGAATTTTTCTTCCAGTTATTGTAAACAATTTTCAGTCGTTTTTTTCATTTAAGTATTATTCAATATTTATTGGATGGAATTAAATACAATTTTATAAACAATGTCTTGATTTACAATCGATTTTTTTGATTTACCATCCTTCAATATTTGTAAATTTATAAATGTTTATAAATCCCGAAAATAGTGTGCAATAATCTACAAGGGGTTTTTAGGTCCAAAAATAGGAAGAAAATTTTATATGGACATAAGTGCCCCCAAAGGGGCGCCGCTGAAGATGTTTTATTATTAATAATTTAGATAAAATAATTTATTTTCTGGAAATAAATGTATTTTTTATTAATATTTCTTCTTAAATTAAAAAAAGAAAAAATATTTTTTTTTATTTAAAACTTTTTATATTCTGCAGCCAACTTGCAAAAAAATTGCACAAAAAAATTTAAGGCTAAAAATACCCTAGGTTGTTTAATAAAATCGTAAATATTTTTTTATTATTAAATTTAGCAGAAAATATTAAGTAAGCATACAAAATTTTTTTATTTTATCTCCAATCGTTTAAAAAAAAATTTTAAACCATCTTCAGGGGCGCCCCTTGCCGACCTATGTTAATAGACAGATTTTTTCCTATTATTGACCTTTTTTATGATTTTTCTAGAAAAATATTTAGAAAATCACAAATATAGTTTAGATAACGCTATGTAGCGCCAAGTTGAAATGATATATCTTTTGAACAAAAAATATGAACACTTTCAAATTTAGATATATTTTTTAAAAAGGTCTGAACTGTATCTGTGATTTTTTTTGCTCCAGAACAATGCTTAAAAAAATTGTTAAAAATAAACCTTTAAAAATGTTTAAACATTTATACACTTTCAAATTTAGATTTTTTTTTAAAAAGGTCTGAACTATATCTGTGATTTTTTTCGATGCTCCAGAACAATGCTTAAAATAAACGTTTATACATTTATAAATTAACAAATATTGAATGTTGGCAAATCAAAAAAAACTATTGTAAACTAAGACATATTAAGACATTGTTCAAAAAATTATATTTAATTTAATTCAATTGATTTTGAATAATACTTAAATAAAAAAAAACGATTGAAAATTGTTTACGACATTAACTGGATTTTATATATAAACTAAATAAAATAAACTGATTTATTTTGAAAGACAATAAACACCAATTTTTGGTGGTTTCACGAATTTTGACTCTTTAATGACCTGAGGGCTGTATAACCCTTAGGAAGCGTTTTGGAAAAAACTGAATGAAAAATGAATGGTAAATTGCTAATTCAACCTAAACCACCCTATATAATATACATACCTATTTTTTTTGCATTTCAGTTTAGCATGCTTCATGTCACCCCTCCAATGTGCACACCAGAAGTAGTTGGTAATAATAAGGAGCTCTCTAATGCTGAAGGTTTTGTTGAAGTAGAAAAAAATACATTGCAGCATTGTCGTTACAAAAATGTCTTTGCCATAGGCGATTGTTCTTCCACACCTAACTCTAAAACAGCCGCAGCTGCAGGTATGTTTATTATATTATTATTTTTTAAGTTTGTGTAGGTACTAATTTTGTATGTGTTTTCTGTGTTATAAGAAGAAAAATAGATTTTAATAAACTAATGAACATAAATAACGTAACACCCTGAAATTGTATCATTTTGGAACTGGCCATGATAAATTTAATTCTTAGACGGGGTCCTTAGGGGTCGTCCATAAAGTAGGTCACACGTTTAGCCTAAACGGTTTAGGGCTGAAGGGGTTAACACTTTGTAAGATAGTGTGCATGGCATGGCATGGTGGAAGGAGGGGCTCTGAAATTCCCTAAAAAGGTGTGAATTACTTTATAGATGGCCCCTTACGTAGTTATTTCAAACATAAAAGGAGACTTCGTGATTATATGCAAATTACGATTTACAAATGCAAAATAATTATGTTTTTTCAAAGGGATATTTTGTGCGAAACTTCAACAATAGGAAAAAGCATTTGATTTTATAACTCGATCTTTCTCCCTTAACCAAGACCTATTCACTTTGAAAATATGGTATATTGCGGGAAAGGAATTAAAGTTAGATATCTGACATGGCTATAAGTCGAATGAATACTTTACCTTTTTTGTACGTACTATACAGGGTCAGGGGTATTCTTCGAGCGTGAAGTTAGCGGTAACACGCGATTGGAATCTCCTCTTTCGACCAATAGTCGCAAACAATATTTTATTTAACTACCGCAATAAATACAGTGTGCGATTTAAGACCGGAACACCACACTATTTTGGAACGCGTTGACCGATTTTAATATATATTTTTTGGGGACATAATGCTCGATACTAGCTCTATTTTTTAAGGCCCGCTAATCAATTTTTTTTTTTCGAAAAAATTTATAGCGCATTTGATTTTATATAGGGTCAGTCAAAAAGTGAACATTTTAAAAATTCGCTACGCTGAAGCGCGCTGTGGCAAACACCCTAATAAGGTATTAAACTCAAACTTTGCATTAAGGTATTTGAGGCAAGTCTTATTCAAATAGGATATCCTTAAAAAAATTGCCCCATGTTCGTTTTCTAAATTTTGACCCATATAGCAGATCTTAGCAGGCCTTGCAAAAATATTAATTTAAAATTGTTCCACATGGTTAAATAGAGCTCATCGATTACTATGTACAAAAAAATAAAAATCGATCAACACCTTCCAAAATAATTATTAATGGTCTTACATTGCACACAGTGTAATAACTAATTATAAACAATTAAAGAACCGAAACAATTATGGCGGAAAGAATTTAAAGCAAATTTTATTTTTTTATTTATAGAGCGGTAATCAATCTGCGCCACGGTACCGGGTTCGATTCCCGGTCACAGCCTTGGGTGTTGTGTTTTTAAGAGCACAAAAATATACAATAATGAGCTGGCTAAATAGTCGAAAAGACTAAAAGCAAATAAACCTTAAAAAAAAAAAAATTTATTTGATATTTTACATCTGTCAGACAGTTACAAGCTTACTTCAGTCCGTAATGAACAATTAATTATTTCGCCCATCCTTACTAAGTAGGGCCAAGAAGTTACATATTTCTTGCTGGTGTTGAATAAAATAGTTTTTCTTAATTATACAGGAAAAATGGCAAGTGCATTCAAATTCTGTCAAACTTTGAGCAACCCCCAATTTTGTATAAATGGAGTTTCGGTGCTATTCTTGTTAAGTTAAGTTTTGCACAATACCTTGAAACATTTTTTTAATTTTTACAATATTTTTAAGTAAAAATTGTATGAAAAATTAGTATAAATATTATTTTACCAGAACATGAAATGCCATAATTAAAAATAACACTGGTTTACAAATTTAAATTTTAAAAAGATAGAAACTTTATTTTTAATTTTTTAGTGTAATTTAGATGCGCTGAACACGAAAAACATACTAATTTTTTCTCATTTGGGCCATTCACCTAGGTAACGGTGTATTTTTGTTTTTTGATTAATTACTTTACTTAAACCCGCGCGCAGCAGCGTTTAGATTGAACGGCAAGCTCAATCCAGATAATATTAAAAATGTGATTAAATTACGCGTACAAAGGTATCAAATTCGTTTTGATCGGATGAAAAATGGCTGAGTTATAACTCTATACAGCTTATAAAATTTTAAACGTACAAAGGTATCAAATTCGTTTTGATCGGATGAAAAATGGCTGAGTTATAACTCTATACAGCTTATAAAATTTTAAACTAAATAGATGCAATTTTTGACGATTTCCAGCAATTTTCGTCATTTGTGTAATTTTTTCCCACAACAAATAATTCCAATATCACAAGTTTTACATTTCTAATCAATTATAAAAATTTCCAACCCTAGAAGACCAAGATCGGATAAAAATAAAAATATGATAAAAATAAGAAAAAACTGCTATTTAAATCAACTGTTAAATCTCGATATTGTTCATTCATTTAAACTGTATAAATTTTACACAGTAATGTAAATGAGATTTAACTTGAACTTTTAAAATATTGCTGATTAAAGTACCCTGATATTTTACGAAACCATCAATCCCAATCGGATTCAAAACACATGAAAGAAAACTATGAATCGATGGAGCAAACTCATCAATTACAGGCTTACAAGGTGGTAACACGAAGTACCCTTGCTTTCTTTGTTTATGGGATAGAACCATTCGTCATCACCACTGTGTTTGGCCGGAGCGGAAGGAACACACGCCTGGACTCCAGGCCCTGGAGAATACATCAAAATGCTCCCCTTATCCCCCAAAATAAGATAATCCTTCCTCCATTGCATATAAAGCTTGGATTATTTACGAATTTTTTAAAAACGTTGCCGAAGAACAGCATTGCGATGGACTACTTAAAAAGCTATTTTTCGACATTGGCAAGAAGTAAAATTGAAGCGGGTATTTTTTATGGACCTCAAATCAGGATATTGATGGAATTTAATGAATGTTTAAGCGTAGTTTACTTAGAAGCATGGGAAGCATTTCAGGATATTGTTAACAATTTTTTGGGAAAATACAAAAGTCCCAATTACGTCGAAAATCATCAACACATTGATACAACGTGAACTGAGCATAGGGCGTTCTCGCCAAGTTATAACGCGCGGCCTGTACGTCAAATGTGGTAATGTACTATAGTTCACACGGTCTGGACCACATCCAAAAGTCCCACCACATGACTTTGATACAAATAATTAAGGTTAATTTTCTGTCAGCGTCATGCTTAGCAAAGAGACAAAGAACCAAAATAGCCAGTTTCCGTCCGTTTGCCTACTATTCCTCCTCGTGGTTTGGTAGCTGTTTGCTCTTAAGTGGGTGCCACCATTTGCCTGTCTATTTACAAAAACGTTTTATAACAACTTATTGTGTGCAACCCACGGACAACCGACAGGAAACCTTTTGCGTGGTCAACTCACGGGTTATTGGCGGAAACGTTTCCTGACAATGTATTATGTGCAACCCACGGGCAACTGACGAGAAACCTTTTGCGTATACTTATTGTAGACAACGCATAGGAAATCATTTACCCATTCAAAATAACAGAATTTGGTGGCAATTAGCCGACAACGTAACGGAAACGAAAATAAATACATAAATGAGGCGTTGATGACCACAGTGGCCTAACCCACAAAATGTCATATTGGGAAATCATTTTAGGACAAAAATCCCAAAATTTTGTGGGTTAGGCCTCTGAATTTCAACGCCTTATTTATTTATTTATTTTTGTCTCCGTTACGTTGTCGGCAAATTGACATTAAATTCAGTAACGCCCCTTTCATTGCTATTGTTATAGGGTTAAATGTGCAAATATTATTTTAATACAAAACATAAAATATTATAGATATGTATGTGTAAATATACAGGTTTTCCGTTTTTCAAAGCCAGGCATGGGTATCTCGCTTATCTTATCTCGGTAGTTTTGAAAGCTAGCAAAAACATTTTGGCAGATTTGAATTTGAAAGTTCCCTAAAAATGTAAAAATTAAAAAGGCTACCTTCAGACGATTTGAAATAAAATATTTCGTTTTTTACAATATCTAAAAATAAAGTCAAAATTTTTTATGCCGTGACTGCTAGTAAGTGCACGTGTGAAAATACAAAAAAAATAGTTAGTTTAAGTGCGAAATAAATGTATATAATAAAGGGTTTTTCATTTAGAGCGTCAGAACTTTTAAATGAGATAAAAAAATAACTACATGTTATAATCCCGTAATCTATATTTTATTTTGAAGAACGATCGATGACATTATGTTTTAAATATAATATCGTTTAAATGTCCCCCTCGACTTTGCCTGACTGAATGCATTATGAAGGCCTAATTTCTACTATTCTTTTACAAATATCGCGTGGTATACTTTGAATAGTGCGTTTAATGTTTTGTTTAAGGTCGAGAATTGTTCGTGGCTTATTTTTGTAAACCTGAGATTTCACATGATCCTTTAGATGCACAAAAGTTGACTTATTTGCCAGTAAACCAGTTTTTTCTTAAACGATAAACCTTATATTTCTCGCAACTTGCAAAATGTTTGGCAAACCGAACATGCATTTTGATGGTAAATACGAATTATTTCTAAGCGCTGTTAAATTGTTATCTGTCCATATTAATTTGACACAATGCACAGTGGTCTGAGAGGTAAATTTACGCGGCAAAAATTATTCTTTAAATATTTTTTCCAAAACGTGACTTATTTATGTTTTGAGGGTGCTAAATTTACTTCTAATATAATTTTTTTTCAAAAATATTTGGTATTGAGGAAGGGGAGGGCTAAGTCTAGCCAAATAATATAAAATGATTTTTTTCAATATTCGTGTATTTTTTATTCCTTAATTTATTACTCTCTATACTGCAGTACCGGCGCGGATACAGGGTGGAATTAACCCCCCTGACTCACCATCGAAGCACTTTATTTTGACCAATTTCAAATATTTACGATATGGATAACAAACTACCTATAGCTTTATCAAGTTTTTTGTTTAAAACGAATTTTCAGGATATAAGTAAAATTACTCCCCCTGAATAAAATCCTGTATC